TTATTTTCCAACCACAGCCTCTGTTACCCTCACAGAAAGTTTTTGTGGTCAGCTGCTGTCAGTCAGTTTTCATGCGCTTTGCAAAAGCAGCTGCTCCAGTGTGACCATTGATTAAAAAAAACCCTCAGAACTATAAAGTAAAGTAGGTTTTAGGGTAAAACCCTGCAGCTGGATAGCTTAATTGCAAGAGTACTTATTTTTTATTTTTCTGTATTTAAAAAATGGTAAAATTGCTGAAGGGAACTGCACTTCATCCCTGAAGTCCCTTCTAGGGTGCCTCAACAACCCCAGGCAGAGCGATCCCCAGCAGTGTTCCCCCCGCCTCGTGCACACCAGAAAAAGCAATTTAGGGTAATCTGTCCTCACCAGCTGAGAAAAAAAGCTGGAAATGCAGGAAAAGATGTTGGAGGGGATGCAGGGTGGAGCTGAAGGGGAACCCCTGGTTTGCTGGGTGGGCAGGCAGGTGGCCCTAGGGCAGGCAGCCCCATAACCCTGTAGGAGGTGCAGGAAAATCCCTGGGAAAAAAAACCACTACAAAATAAACGAAAATAACTTATTTTTTCACACTGTGCTTCTGTTTCTTTTGACTGGAGAAGGTTGAGCCTCAGCATCTGGATTGTTCCCACCAGGTGAGGGGGCTTGGGATGGGCTGGGGGACAGAGGGGAGGTAGTCTAAAGTTTTAATTTTGGGAGAGAATTTCAATTGCTGGGAGAAGTTTTAATTGCTGGAGAAAAGTTTAATTGGGGGAGAAAATTTTAACTGAGGAGAGAAAAGTTTGACTGTGGGGAGAAAACTTTAATTATAAGGAGAAAATTTTTTTTGTGGGCAGAAATTTTCAATTAAGAGGATTTTAATAGGGGGAGATTGTTTTAATTGGAAGGAGGAAACTTTAGTTTGAAGGAGAAAACTTTAATTTTGGAGAGAGAACTTTAATTTTGGAGACAAAATATTAACTGAGTGGAGAAGATATTAACTGGGGAAAAAGGTTTGCAGGGAGGAAACTTTAATTATGGGTACAAAATTTTAATTGAAGATATTTTAATAGGGGAAGAAGATTTTAAGTGAGGGAGAAAACTTTATTGGGGGTGAAAGTTTGATTGTGGGAAGAAAACTTCAATTGCAGGAAGAGAAATTTAATTGAGGGGAGAAAAGTATTATTGGGGGAGAAAACTAATTAAGGGGAGAAGAAAACTTTAATGGAGGGAAGTCTGAAATTTTAATTACAAGGAGTAGATTTTAGTTGTGGGAGAAAACTTCAACTGGAGGAGAAAAGTTTCATTCCAGGGAAAAAGTTTTAAATACGGGGAGAAAACTTTGAGTACTGACAGCCTTTGTGGCACCTCTGACAGATGGAACTTTGCTTGGCAGGTGAAGAAGGAACAGCTGTAGACGTGGAATCCCAAAAATGGAGGAAATGAGAGATTATTCCAGATTTTGGGGCATGGAAAGGAGCAAGAGGGCAGGTAACTGTAGGGCAATGAACTGAAGAATTGCTGGGTTTGTTTTTCTTTTTAATACTTCCGTAATTTGAGAACAAAGCCCAGCTGAAGTGAGGTTATAAGGGAGTGGGGAAAGCTTTTTCTAGCACTTCCCTGGAAGGAAAATTTTTGTCACTCAGCAGATGGAACTTTTGATCTAAACAGCCCCATTTCAGACACTGTGGGTTATTTTCATTTAGGATTAACCCTTCCTGAGGCACTCGAGTACCTGACTCTTTTGGGTATATTTTTTCCACAAATATTTCAATTTTCTGATATATTTTGGATGAGAATAAAGAAATTTTTGAAGAGCCTAACTGTTAAAAGGCCCCAGAAAGAAGTTTGGTCTTTAAATGCAACTTGGACACATCAGCAATATATTTATTAATTTCTTCTTTCCCTTCAACACTGCCCTGTTTCAGGTCTCCTGATTTTGCTCCCATCTCTATCATCCTCTTGGTCCACAATAAGGTAAAAAAGTGGCTTTGGGAGTCTTTTCCATTATCTCAATCTATTCAACCAGGGACTAAGATTTTTGGGGATTTTTTTTTTAATTTAGTAAATTTGTTGATTTTTCTTATTTGTTGATTTTTTTGTTGATATTTTTCTTTTATATATAATTTTTTTTCATTACCTGACATATTTGGTTTCTGACTTACTTTCTAATAGCGTTTTTCCAGGAGAAAGAGGGGAAAGGAGACTTTGTCCCATGAGATTTGGTTCATGTCATAGATGGGGACAAAAAGGGAAAAGCTTAAACCAAAAATGGAGGTAGCCCCACTGGGTGAAACCACTTAGATTTTTAGGTAAAACTGCGTAGAAACAGATTTTTCTTTGCTCAAAGTGAAGGGAAAGAGCATATGCTGGATCACAGGACCCAGAGATGGAGGACATCCATGACTTGGACAATTTTCAAGACTCAAAGTGTCTCAGTTGAGTTAGAGAAAAAACCTCTACTGAACTTTAATAAAGAGGTGGAACGCAGAAATTAAAGCATGATTTTAATTATGGTGCATTTCAGGAGTTTCAGGCTGGAGCTGTGGAGGAGACTCCCCATAGAGTTCCCATTAAAAAAAAAAATTATTCCATGTGGAGAAGAATTTTTTCTTATTTCTCACCCAAAATGACACCAAGTCCCCCTGGCATGGGGAAGAGACCAACCTGTCATCATCTGGGCATGACCTGGAGCATGTTGCTCCCCTGGGAACCTTCGTAGAGTCACTGAAGATCTGTTCTCCTGCAGGTCACAGCCTGGAGATGAAGCCGGAGGCACGTGTTGCCTGCCAGGTGATGCTGGCAGCGCTCTTCACAGCTCTGCTTGTCACAGCCATCACTTTTGCAGGTAAATGTCAAGGAGGAATGATGAGGAATGTCTCTGAGATATTTTGGGTTGTTGCATATGTGCCAGATCTACCTCCCCTTCTTCTGTGGAAGACAGAGCCCACCCAAGCTGCTGTCCTCTCCAGGAGAGGGACATTTCAGAGCAGCCTTTCTACAGAAGACCAAACTCATCCCCTTGGTGTAGGAGCTGATGATATCTAGAAGTCCGTAGAAAATCAACAGGAAGAGCCATTTCACACACACAGTCAGCCACTCATAAGTATGGTTTTCAGAGAGGAATGGGCCTAGAGGTGTTGGCATGAGTCCTACCAAGCTCCGAAGTCTCCAGGAATAAGAGAATTTATTTTCTGTCACTTTTCCTACATTTGTATTAATAAGAGAGAGAAATACCCAAGGGCATATTTAGGGATAGGACTATTCTGAAATTCCTCTTAAACTCTGGTTTTTCTGAAGGCTAGCATCCTGTTTCTTTCTTTGAAGGTGCATCAATCATGTTTCTTGGCCAACACCACAAGCTGGGCCATGATTTGAGCTTATTTTCTCCCACAGTTTCTCTTTGTATCTTAATTTTTTCCTTAACTCACAGTTGAGGCAGATGCAAGACCTTCAGAGACCATGGGATGGAGGATGACCTCCCCACTCAAGAGAGGCAAGGGGAAGATGCTGCTCCTTAACACTGTTCTATTTTTTAATGACAGTGCAGGCTTTTCAGCCTCATCCCCAGTCCTACTTTCAGTGCCCCTTCGACTGGATCAGATATAGAGGAAAATGCTACTATTTTTCGGAGACTGAGGGGAACTGGACATCCAGCCAGGACAACTGCTCAGCACTTGGTGCTTCCTTGGCCATGCTGGACAGCATGGAGGACTTGGTAAGGAGACAAGAGGACACGCTTAGCATTAGGAAAAAAAACCCAAGCCAACATATTTGACACCTCATGGTTTCTTTGACTGGTCTTTCAGGATCTTCCTTGGAGATCTGGGGCAAGAACTTGGGGAAGAGGGTTTTCTTGAGGGTTGGTCATCATGGGTCTCTTCAAATTCCTCACTAAAGCCAACTGCTGCCAACTGTAGCTAGACACACTTTTTTAGCAGATTGAAAGGTTCAAGCCCCAAAGAAGCCCTAGAGAAGCACAAGTAACTGGTAAAATGGAGATTTTTTGCTAGAAGGAGGTAAAAACCTTTTTTTCTCTTTTTTAGAGCTTTGTGATTAAATATAAAGGCATCTCAGAGCATTGGGTTGGCCTTCTGCGGAAAGACGAGGAGCAGCCATGGCAATGGGTGAACCACTCACTTTTATCGCACTTGTGAGTCCGTGTTTTTCATCATTACATTGTTGGTTGGTGATTACCCAGCCACAAAATGTGTATTTCTTCTGGCACTTGAGGTGCATCCAGAGGTAGTAATGGGACAGTTATGTTTGGAAAGGGCAACGCTGCATCTTGTTTCTTGCCTTGACCTAAGATATAGGAGTGGTGTGTTTGGTGAGAAAATACTGAGATTAGATTTTTTATTAGAAGTTCTTTTTTTTCTTGCAAAGCTTTGGATTTCTTATTAGAAATAATAATAAGTCAGCATCAGTGTTGGCATATTGATGCTGAATTATTTCTACTCCTGTATAAGAAATATATATTGATATTTTGGCATGTTGATGCCCACAAGGATGCCTGAGAACTGAAATAGGGGGAAACCCATGTGTGACTTTTGTCCTTTTTACTTCTGAGCGTGTCTGAGGGGGATTGTCTCCTCTGTCCTTCCAGGTTTCAAATCCGTGGTGGTGGGCTCTGCGCTTACCTGGATGACAAGGGGCTCAGCTCCTCCCCCTGCAGCACTGAGAGGAGCTGGATTTGTAATAAACCTGAGCTGCAGAGCTCAGGCAAGGGCAAAGGGATGAGATGGGCTAAAAACCTCTGTGTCAGCTCCTTGGGTGCTGCAGGGAGGTCTTCTCACACCCAGATACCTGCTGCACCATGAAAGAAAACCTCAAAAAGGCTTCAAATCCCCTGGGTGAGGGGTTCTTGAGGGTACCAGGGGACCAACAAAGTGTTGGTGGGAAAGGGCAACCTTTGGAGACCCATGTAGGGCAGTCCTACAGGTTCCTGGGGGCTAGGGCAGCCTTAGGGGGTCTTTTTAGGTCTAGGGCAACTTGGTGAGAGGTCAAATGCAGACATCTTCTGCTTGTTAGAAAAAAAATTTATTATATTCAGAGCACATTTATATCAATTGCATGTTAATTACTTGGAAATACCTGAGCATGGAAGTGGGGGAAGTAAGTGCAAGCACATCCTTGTGATGACAAAATCAGTTTTAAAATGAGGCAACAGCTGGCATTAATGCAAAGCCTGCAAAAATTATGATTTTTAATCTACATTGGAAGCCTAGCCAGTGATGGACATTGAGGTCAGTAAAGGAATTATCAGAGAAGGCTATCTGGGAGGAAAAATCAAGTTTTCAGGTCAAAAACAGTTCAGTGAATCCCAGCTCATGTTAGGAAGCTTTGGATGAATTTAATGACAGTGGCTTTGAGATGAGACCAACTGTGCTGCGCTCAGACTCAAAATCCCTGGACATAACCCAAAATAAAGACATCTAAGATGAAGGTAGGACCATGAGTTGAGGTGGAAATGACTCCAAGACCTGGAATAGAAGACTTGAAGAGCATCAAGGAGCATTTCAACCACCATGGTGCAACCAGCTTTGGAAGGATTCCGTCAGTGCATCAGCCCTTGGGGGACAGTTTGATGGTTGAGAGGAGGACACAGAAGTAGGGGAAAACCTTCTCCCCACTGAAGGAAGCCACAGGGAAGGTGAAGATGCACTGGCGGCTGCCAACGGCATAGAAGGAGACCTGTCCCACCTCGTAGTCCAGGTAGACTCCAATCTCCCCATTGAGGAGCGGGATGGAGGTATTGGATGGGGCTGTGAGGGCAACACAGAGCTCATCGTACTTCTGCAAGCCCCAAATCTCAGCGCTGGGCTTGAAGAGGACCCGGCCTTTCCTCTGAACCGACTCACGGGCCACCCCCACAGCCCAGAAGCGCCCATTGGCCTCTACCTCCCAGTAGTGGCGGCCCGAGGTGAAGCCCTCGCTGCCCAGCATGCACGGATCTGTGTCAAACCGGCCGGGACCCTCTGGCCACTGGCGCTGAGGCCTGCCCCAAGTTGCCTCTTTGAGGTCCTCGGAGAGGATCACCTCAGGACCCACTGTGGCTGGATCCAGGGTCACATCCACTGAAAAGCAAAACAGAGGAGAGATCAGAAGCCACATTTAAGTGTAAAGGAGGCACCCAAAAACCTGACCCAAAAGTCACTGCTGACTTTTCAAGGAGAAAGGGAGAGAAGGAGTGAGGTTGGAGATGGAGGAGTGAAGAGGTGGAGGTTGGAGATAGAGGTTATGCAGCTGAGGCTGGCGATAGAGAAGTCAAGAAAGGGAGGCTCTCCATTTGAGGTTGTAGAAGGAAGAGACAAAATATGGATGCTGGAGATGGAGGATCTCTGAGCCAGGTTGGAGATGGAGGAGTCAAGACATGGAGTTTGGAGATGGAGAACCCAGGGAGACAGAAGGTGGAGCTGGAGAATCTCCAACTCATTAGACATTGATGCAGCCCAGAAAACACCAGGAATTAGTACTTTGCTCCTGCTTTGATTACCTTCAAACTGTTTGGCAGTGTGGTAGTCCAGGGCAAGGTCCCATGTGCATGGCCGTGGTTTGAGGAAGAAAGCCATTATGCCTGCAGTGTCCTCCCCTCCTGGCTGGAGGCAAGAGAAAGACAAAGAAAGAAAAAAAGAGTAAAATCAAATTATTATCCTACGAACAGGCACATATCAGCTTTCTGCCCATTTTTATGGCAGGAAATGGGCTCAAACACCACATTTAATCAAAATACTTCAAGAAAGTGCCATTTTTTTTCACTAACAGTTGTAATAGAACTTGGTTCGTTTATGTAAAGGCCCATGGAGATAGGTTAAATCAATTAATTTCCCAATGACTATGAAGGGAACATGAGGAGCACATTTGGATGGACCCATCTACCTTGTAGGTATTATTATAACCCAAAACCCCATTTCTTGTGCTGGCTCAGGGCTGAATCTGTCTTAAATACATCTCTGCCTCCACCATTCATCAACCAAATCTGACAAGGTTTGTTTGAGTGAGGAAACTCCTTAAAATTGAGATAAGCCACCTCTACCTCTCACGTCCAGAGAAATCCTCTGAGAGGGGAGAAATTTCCTGCTGGCCCCCAAGAAAATGTGTGAAGGGGAGATAAGAGCTGGCACTGAAGGGCCTAAAATCCATCCTCCAGAACCCAGTGTGGGGCTTTGTATGCAAAGGGACCTGGAAATGAGTAATAAAGCCCAAATAAAGCCCAAAAATGGTTGAATAAACCACACTGTAATGGTTGAAAATGAAAAAGTTGTTTCATTTCCTTTGCTGTTTATTTCCTCGGCAAATCTGCAGAAAGGGGGATTAAAGCAGCAGGGGGATGAGTAAAAGTGGGGGAAAGGTAAGAAAATCACCCTTAAATGAAGATAAAAGCAGGAGCCATCCTGTTTCTCACCCAGATATCCCCAGATGGATTATTATGAGCAAATATCACCATGACCCTCCACTGCAAAACATCATGAAATCTGAAACAAAGACCCTGAGGTCAAAGCAAGGGTAAATCCACTTTCCTTCCTGTGTTAATGGGATGGAGAGAAAGCTCAAAATCCCCTTTTTCCCCAAAAAAGACAGCAGGTTGATGTAACCACCTACCAGCTCTGCAAGTTTCCCCCTCTCTCAAACCTCTTTGGTGTTTTCCTTGGTGTCACTGGTGCTGTTTTCAGGTTGTTTTTCCTCCACTGGCTGCTTCTCCACTGGATTTGTTTCCACTTGGAATTTTTTTCTCCCCTCTCTGGCACAGGCTCAGCCAAAGCTCTGTCCTGTCTCTGCCTCTGCCAGGTTTTATCGCCAAGAAGGGAGGAGTCCTCCAATCTCTCACCTCCAGATGGGGCCATGACGTGCTTGGACGCCTCCTGCACCCTCTGATTGCACCTTTTTCCCCCATTTCAGGGCCATTTACTTTCTGGACGCAGGCGCTGCAGAGAGAAGGGAGGAAAATTAAGAGAGTGCAAAAAAAAAAATGCAGTATTGCACGTCACCACTAGGAAGAAATTGGTTAAATTTTGCCCCCTAGCGGCCCAAATCTGGGTGTGGCCCCTTCTGCACAATGGAGCTGAACAAGGCAAAGCAGGGACAAGGCTGAGAGCAGCTTCCAGGTGAGGGATGAGACAGCAATGCCTAGAAATGAGACAACCTGGGAGAAATAAAACATCTTTAAAGACAGCTGTGGGTGAGGAAATCTGATTTTCCCACTGGGACAGGTTGTGCTGGGATCTGAGCGCAGGAACACCCAAGGGCAGTTCGAGGGCAGGCAGCTTCACCCTTCGCCACTGCCAACCCCCAGCATTCTCCTCACTGGGAGGGCAGTGGGGCCACAGCAGTGGCACAAAACCTGCATGCTGAGACCAGCCACAACTTCCTCTCCCGGTGCTGAAGAGACAAAACCCCTTGGGGTTGCATGGCTGCTGGAGGCAATGGGTGAACCGCCACAGACTGTGGTCATGAAGATTTTTGGGGGTCCTGCAGAGACCCGCGAGGTGAGATCAGCCTCCTAAGACTTATCAGGCTTTGCTCCCTCCCTTTCCTCCCCTTCTCCCTCTTTCCCCCTCCTTCCCTCAAAAAAGGTGCAAAATGAAAATATTTTAATTTCTTGGTGGGAAAGCTCCAGTGCCTGGTTCTTGTCATAGGAGAAACATAAAGCGAGTTGATCCCTGCTTTCCAGGGAAGGGAGCACAGGGGCTTTTTTTGAAGATTATTAGCTTTCCTCCCCCAGATAATTTAAGATTTTAAAGGCGGAATTATACAAATGATCTGGGCTGATCACTTACATTTTTTTTAAAATAATTTTTTACTTTTTTGTATATTCAGGAGAAAATTCAGTCTCATATGCAATCCCTAAGGAAGATATTGGTAGAGTTTCTAGGCTGGAGAGTGAGGAAAGATAAGGGCCTACCTGCTACAGGGGGCCTCTTGGTGTTTTGACAACCCAAATGGATATTTATTTTTCCCCCAAACCCTGTGGAAGAAACATGCAGGGGGTATCCGTACATCCATGAGGTATCCTGGTGCCTTGCAAAGCCTCATACCCAGCTAGAGTGGTTGGTGCAGATCCTTGGCAGGTTTGACCACCTCCATGTGCAGGTGCTTATTATCCACATTTTAAATCACTGCATTTTCATGGCATTGCTCCTTTTCATCCAAGACTGCATCCTAAAGGGACATTTGTTAATATGGAATTAACCTTCCCCCATGCTTTCCAGGGCCTGATGTGGTTTTGGACAGAATATAAACAGGAATGACAACAGTGAAGGAGAAAGAAGGAAAACCATGGGCTGAAGTGCTTAATTATGCTGCAGTCGCTAATTAGCCACATCCTTAGCTCTGCCCCAGTGTTACAGACCCCCAGCTCCAGCCACAGTGCTTTTGTCCTTTAGCTTGAAATGGAAAATTCAGCTCTGGGGTTACACAGGGGTTTTCTGTCTCCTCTAGGAGACAAGCAAGGCTGAGTGGCTCGGCACTGAGGCCGAGTTCAAGTGGCTGTGCCGGCTGCTGGTGGAGTAGGAGTGGGTGATGCTGGGGTGGCTGGCAGAGCTGAACAATGCCTTCACAACTGCCCAGGCCAAAAAATCCTCTTGAGTGGCTGAGGGGATCACACAGCTCCATGGGCTCATTGGGCAGCTGGAGGCCAAGCGCTTGCCCCAGGTGAGAGCCCTCCTTACCCAGAAGCCCTTCCAAAGTGCTGCCTAAGAGATCCTGACCCCATACCTCGCCCCTTTATCCCTCCTTTTTATTTTTAGGATGTTGGGATCATCCCAAGCAGGTATGTGGAAACTGCTCAATTTCCCCCCTTGTCACCCCACCTGTGGAGAGGGGCTCAAAATATCCCTTGTGTGATATCTATCCCTGTCATTTATCTTCCCACTTGGAGTGAAATGAGGCTTCACTTCCCTTCTGGGCTCCCCACAGAGGTTGAAAAGAGCCTGAGCTCTGCTGCTGCTAGTGGAATGCTCTGCAGGAGGCCCTGGAGGAGTTCAGAGGTGTTTGGGGAGAATTCTGCTATTTCAGGAGAATTTGGAGGCATTTGGGGCGGAATGCAGAGGTATTTGGGATAATTCAGTTATTTTTGTCATAACTCAGAGATATTTGAGGGGAACTCAGAATTGTTTTGGAAGGAATTCAGTTGTATTTTGGGATAATTCAGTTATCTGGGGAGAAGCCAGAAGGAAGATGAGGTTGTCCCAGGGAAGGCAGCAGGAGGCTCAGCACCCACTCACTGCTCATGTCCTTCCCTCCTCCCAGGTACGGGTGCCTGCACGAGTCTCCCTGCAGCAAAGGCAACCCTGGAGCCTGGCATGGCTCCTCTCCCACAGTTCTTGGCAGACAGAAAAAGCATGCAGTGGGATGAGAAGGAGAAGCAGGATGAGGCTGGAGAAGCCCAGCGAGGCCAGGAGCCAGCTGGCACCCAACAGGGGGTCATCGCTGGGAGATGCAGGACACAGATGCGGTAGCTGGACTCTGAAAGATGCTGCCACAGCCCAGAGTCCCGGGTGCTGTCCGTGTTCCTTGGGACACAAGTCGAGCTTCCTCCCAGCTCAGATCTTGCCACAGAACAAGATCTGTTCTGCCCCAGATTTACTGCCAACAGTTACTCTGCTGCTTTAACTAGCAAGTGGTCTTGTGCTGCTGCTCTACATGAAGGTCATGAAATAAAAAAATAAGAAAAAAGACTCCAAAATTTTTTTATGAGTGTGTGCATAGGATAGATATTACGGCATTTATTGCTCCGCAGGCTAGGGAGACAGCAGCGGGAGAGCAAGAGGCAGCGGTATACACAGGTCCAGGTCCTTCGGTGCCGAGTGGCAGACCTGTCCCGGTGCCTAAGAGCTCGGGGACTTGGCCGAGAACGCCATGCCCCGCTCCTCCCCGCCGCTGGAAGCCGCTTTCCCGGCTCTGGCTGTCGCCTCTCAGCCCCGGCGCGGTGCCCGGGGAGTCCCCGCTCGTCGAGCGGGGGCGTGTGTGGGACGGGGAGGATCGATCCGGGCCGCGTTTCGCCCGCCCCTCGGTGCCCCCGCCGCTTTTTGGATGCGCGGCAGTGGCCACTCCTCGCTGCGGCTCTTTAGTTCTATTTATTTTATTCTGTTCCATACATTCTATTCACACTTCGCCCTCTTCTCAGTGCAGCCCTTCTGGCGACACCTGACAGCCGTCCCGCGATGCAGGTCCTTCAGTGACACGAGGTGACAGTCACTCCCTGGCGCGGCTCTTAGAGACTCGGGTGAGCAGCCACTCCTCAGTGCAGCCACGCCACCACCGCCTGCGCGCCTGCCCCAGGGCGGCTTTCCTGCGGCATCGGTCGGCTGGGCTTCCATCCACCACGAAAAAAAACAAACTCTGCTAAAACGGTACAAATTACCCCAGAAAGCGAAGCGGTTGCAATGCACATGGGCACCGAGGCGCTGCAGCTCCAAGAGCTGTTTTATTGGCCCCTTCCCCACTCCCCTCCCAACTAAGAATCCTTAAGTAAGGTGGAAACAGCGGTTTGCTTTTACGTACATGCATAGAGATAGCAAAAACGTACAAAATAACAATTTCTGCGGAAAATATTTATATCTATTACATCCCTGGTTTTTCCTCCTGCTGCAGAAACCTCGTGTAGGCTGAGATTCCTCTTAAAAAAGGACAGTAAATACCTGAAATAATTAAGAATTAATTAAGCATGAAGTCGGTCTGCCGTTAACTAATTTTTCAGGCATTTCCTAGAAAAAAGCATACTTTAAAAAAGGGGGGGGGGGAAGAAAAAAAAGGAAAAAAAGGATTTTAGGGTGTTTCTTCCTTTCTGCTCTGAGATATCAAACTTCAGATTTGGTCTCGGTTCCTCCCGTTTCATCCTGTCCCGTTCTATTGTGCTCTGCCCCACTGCACCTCAAAGTGTGTTTTATCAGCCTTATTCATAACTGATTAATACTTTTTAAATTATTTTTACGAGGGTTTTGTTATTTTTATAATTCTATACTAAGATTTGCAATTTCAGTTAAACATATATCTAATTATATTTTTATATTACATAAAATACACTGAAACAGTTAACACTTTTATGATAGTTAAAATAAATATATAAAATTATATTAATATTATGCTAGATTATATATATTTAACATACTTTTATTATTCTATAGAAGTGAAGCTTCCCGCTCCAAGACCCTCGTTTGGTTCACTTTCCGAATTCACGTGATTGCAAAACTTCATTAACATTACACCCTCCTGGAATTTCTGCTCTAACACCTCCTCCCCGCACAGTTCTTTTACTTTTTCCCCTTTGCTTCTTATTTTTCCCATCCAATTTGGGTGCTGAGCGAAAAGGGTCGGTTTTTATTTCACCTTAAGACTCCCCCGCCTTGCCCCGCCCCTCGTTCCCCAGCTGATATCCACGTGAGCTCTATGGACCTCCTTTAATCCCTGTTTTCTACAGCCACACTCCGGCCGCACTTTGCTTCCCCCGCTGCAGCCGGAGTGGCAAAAATTTGCCTTGCAAATAATTCATGCCTACTAACGCCCCCCTCTCCGCCCCCGCTGTCGCTGCCTGTGTTCACTTCTGTCCTTAAATCCTTGCTGGCCTCGCCCTTGGAGGCGGTTTCGTCACTGGGGCAGTGGGAAAATCAGACCAGCTCTACGTTGCTTCTGCCAGGCAGGTCCCGGATGCCGACACCGGGGTCCCGCCCTGTCGCCACTTCCCGGAAAACCTTGGCCAGGCCCCTTTATGTGCACACTTCCCCGAGAGCGCTTTAGGAATAACCATGGCTGCGGGAAATGCCATCAGATACCTCCAGGGGGAAGCCACCTGCGCTGTCTGCCTGGACTTCTTCCACGACCCTGTTATGATCCTCAGCTGTGGCCACAATTTTTGCCGGCGTTGTCTCGAGTGTTGCTCGGCGGATGCCGCCGGGCGCGCTTCCTGCCCGCAGTGCCGCGTCCCTTTCCCGCATGGCGACTTCCGTCCCAACCGGCAGCTGGCCAACGTGGTGGCTGCCGTCCGGGAGCTGGACACGCCGACGGCGCAGGAGCTTTGCCGGAAGCACGAACAACCCCTCACTCTTTTTAGTCACCGGGATGGAATCCTCGTCTGCGCTGCGTGCGCTGAGCATCGCGCTGAGCCCGCCGTGCCCCTCGAAGAAGCCGCTCGCGGGTACAGGGTGAGCGAGTCCCCGTCTCAGACGCTGTTTTCCTGCCTGAGAGACGCTAAAACCCCAATTCCCCTTTAAAACTCTGCCCCCAAAATATGTATATTGAGTTGGGGCAAAGTTTTCCCCCATCTTTCCAGGAGAAAAAAAAAATACTATGAGCATCCAAAAGTCAAAAGTGAGCTGAAATGCTGCAATTTGCTGAGGGTTAAGTATGAAACAGGGCAGGAGTGTGGCAGCTTTGGGACCAAAACTACATATTGGTGAATTCAAGCTGCTGCTGTCACCCAGTGCCTTTGCTGTGGAGGATTCCTGTTCTGCTTCCGGGTGTGGAGGAGAAATGGGGGTCCCCAAGGGGTTTTGGACCTGGCTGGGGGTGCAAGGAGCGGGGAAAGGGGGAATGGGAACTGAAGGGTGGTGCAAACCTTTTTACAGGAGAATTTGGAGAGATAGGATTTCCCAGCCTGTCTGGGAGTCCTATAATGCCCATTTATCAGTATATATTTACATATCTCTACAGATGAGGTGAGACTATCCATAGAGCATTACTATAAAATTATTTATAACATGGATATGCATGAACATATCTGCTTCAGTGCAGCTGGAGAGGAGGCTGAGGAATGGGCCACCTGCTTTGGCCATATTGCAATTCCTTACGGGGTCCCAGCCCCACCTTTTCCCCCTCCTCCAGGAGCCCAACCCCCTTTTTCCCTTTTGCAGAAACAGTTTGAAGATTCTCTAAGAAGCCTGCAAGAGGAGTATGAGCAACGCGTCAGTCTCAGTGAGTTAGTGAAGGAGACAAGACAGGAGATGCTGGTGAGTGCTGCTGCAGTTAAGGTGCACTGTGGGGGCAAACTGTTTCATTCTCCACTCCAGCAGCATCCTGATTCTCCTTCATCCCCTAGACTCGAGTCAATGCTGAGAAGCAGAAGCTACTGGTGATGCTGGAAGAGCTCCGGTGGGTTCTGAGGGAGCAGGAATCATGTTTCCTTGCCCGGTTCCGTCACCTGTGCTGGAGACTGGAGGAGCAGCAATGTGGTGAAGCTGCCAGGATAACCTGGATCCGGCAACACCGTGCTGAGCTCCAGGCCAAGTGTCAGCAACCAGATGTTGATCTGCTACGGGTGAGCCAAAACTTTCCCCACAAATCCCTCTGTTCCCCCACTCCACTTTGGCTTTTATTCCCAGGAAAACAGTCCTAAGCATCTCTCTCCCTTCCTCTCCAGGATGCCCAAACCACCCTGAGCAGGTACTGGGGCCAAAAACCATCAGCAGGAACACCACTCGTGGGCCAAAATGCTCAATTTCTGGGATCTCCTCCTCACTCTGCATTCTTTTCCTCTGGGATTTTTGCTTTTTAGCTGGAGGGGATTGGTGGTTAATCCAGAAGTTGGTGAAGATGGGGGAATCTGCCATCACATCTCGCAGGAGCTGGACTCTTGCCAAGGGAAATAAAGATGTCCCTGGGGTTTTCTAGTGGTGGGGAAAGGAAATTTAGGGATTTCTTGGCATTAAACACACCAATTTTCCCCCCTCGAGGTGCACAGAGAGGAAGGTGCAGCCGATGCTGCTGTCGTTGCCAGAGCTGGAAGCAGAGCTTGAGGATGTTACCCGGAAAACCAACATGCTGGCAGAGGCAGTGACACAGTTTAAAGGTGCTTGTAGGGGAAAAATTGGCAAAAAAGGGGATTTGTGAAGCAGAAATGGGAACCTAGGGTGGGACTGGGAGGAAAGAGAAACCCCAGGGCTGGCAAATTCAGTCGGACAGGAAAAGCATCACTTTAAGTCCTCCATTAATTAAAAGAAAATCAGGGATTTATTCTCTTTACAGCAACCTTAAGGCATAGGAAACTGCAGGTGGGAGATGCAGAGGCCTCTTGGTGGTTAATTGGCACCCAAGTTAGGACATTAATTATGTGTGGAGGCGGGTGATGCTCCGAATGAAGGGGGTTATGTCTCCCACCTCTTGTGGTCTTGCCTTCTCCTTGCTGCAAGGAGATGGGTGGATGTGGGGCAGCCCCAGGGACAGGACCAGAGGTAAAAATCTCCGGGGGTCATCTTCTATTTGCAGACAGCTTGGGCTGTTCACTGGAGGAAGACTCAGGGGGATATCGGAGAGGTGAGTCAGGCTTCAAGGCTAATGCTCAGATCCAGCATCCAGAACTGGGGCTCAGCTGCAGAACCTGGAGCTGATGCTCTGGTGTGATTTTTGAAGCTAATACCCCAATGCATAGAGCCCCACTAACACCTCTCTCCCCTCTAGCAACTGTGACCCTGGATCCAGCCACAGCTCACCCCCAAATCCTGGTGTCAGCAGATGGCCGGACTGCGCGCCGCCGGGAATCACCCCCAGCTCCTCTTCCCTCAGGAAAGGAGCGTTTTGAGTCTCTCTGCTGTGTTTTGGGTCGGCAGGGCTTTGTGGGGGGCCGGCACTGCTGGGCTGTGGAGGTTCGTCCCGGTCCTGACTGGGCGCTGGGGGTGGCTCGGGAATTTGTGTCTCGTAAGGGCTGCTTTGGTCTCAGCCCTGAACGTGGAGTTTGGGCTGTGGGCCAGTGGTTGGGGCAGTTGCAGGCTCTCACCTGGCCCAGCCCCACATGTCTTCGGCACAGCTACACACTCCGACGCATTGAGGTAGCTCTGGATTATGCTGGTGGGCGGGTGGCTTTCCGTGATGCTGACAGCCAGACCGAAATCTTTGTCTTTCCCCCTGCCTCTTTTGCTGGTGAGCGACTCCGGCCACTGCTCTGGCTGGGTGAGGGGCCAGCTCTGCTCACCTTCTGCCCCTGAATCCCCCCAAAACCGACCATGAACCTCCCAAGCACAGACACTTCCACCACCCCAGCAAACCCTCCACTCAATAAATGGCCCCAACTCCCCACCCCCAGATCCATTTAATTTTCCTTATAACATGTAGTTTAACAATCACATTTCACTCTCTTGCTCCTCAGTGGGAGAACAGAGATATTTTATTTCCCTAGCTGTTTGTCAATGGAACCATAGCCTAGAAAAAGAGGGAGAACGTCCCTAAAAAATTTTGAAAACTCACTTTGAGGCAGAAAATGGGCTTTGCTTCTGGATGGCTCATAATAAGATTTTGCAAGTCGAAACTTTTCTGCTTAGGCTTTGCAGAGAATACAGGGGAAATGGGCTAAAACCACCTTTTGTGCCTGCTGGGATCACTATGGCTTATGGTTTTGCCACTGCCACAACATGAGCAGGGAGAGAGGCCACAGACAGGATTTTATCCCCTGTTTTAATCCCCTATTAACACCTACAAGTTGAATAGAAGGGGGAAAAATAAACTTTTATCTTGAAGCAGCAGAAAGCTGTTATTAGGGTTAAACTATGTAATAGAGAGCTGTTATCAGCAAGCACAGGCAGGACTGGGCAGGTCTCTGCCTCTTACAGCCTCAGTCACTCCACCTTTACTGCCAGGCTTGCCTCCCTATCCACACACATACTTGACATCAGACTGAGGAAGGGGAGAAACCACAAGGAAAGGCAGCAGGGAAGGCAGCTGCTTTTATCTTCAGGGCCCTAATTTTAATTAACTGCCTTGACAAACTCACAGGTCACCGCTAAACCCAAATTACAGTCCTGATCAGTTGTATAATTAGTTGTTTCCCTGTTTGGTTCATGGTGAGGTTGGTCCTGGATGCCGTCTTCCTTACCAGACAAGGCCCAGTGATGTGTAAATATAAGTACTTCTTTGCAGCATCCTGCTCCAAAAGGTGAGCTTCAAACACTCCATTTTCCCCTCTTCTTAACCAATTTATTGGGATAAAATGTAATTGTTTTGTTTCATCTTCTCCATTTCATAACTTCATCTGCTCAGAGAAGAGGTTTTTCTCCCCAAAATGAAGCCAAGCTGGACATTTCTCCCCCCACAAATTCCCTCACTGTCCAAAATACCCACGAAAAAGCCACATCTGATGGTTTATTTAAGCTAAAAGGAGCCTTTTTTAACAACTGAATATAGAGGATGAGACCCTATAGTGCATTATAGGGCCTGGGCAGCATGAATGAAGCTGGTAGCTGGGCTGAGCAAAAGAAATCTGAATTGTGGGTGATTTTTAGGCTTTTTTGCCATTTATTCTGTGAAATAATTTCTCTACTCAGACATGCTTTAGACCTGAATTTCCCCCACGGCAGCACTGGAGATGTGGTGAAGGAGCACATCAAATCCTCCACATGAAAACACACTAAACCCCAGAAAACTGAAAAAAGGACAAATTGTGATAGACTGAACTTTGAATAAACAAACTGGTTAAGCTTGGCAATTTGTTGTGTCCCTCGTAACCTGGGATTGATGTCTTAAAGTGTTTTTGAGCCAGATAAGGGAGAAGGCTTATAAGAAGCAGCATCCTGTGGAGGTGTGGTAATGTTTTTTATCATGCCAATTTCTTCCTTTCTGATGAGGCCCAGCTGGCACCACTACACAGTCATGAGAAGCAGGGCCAAAGAGTAGTCGTATCATTAGAATGGGCCATAAACCATTGCTGTCCCCCAAATTAACTTGGAGAAGTTAGCAGCATGGAAGGGTGCCATGGGGCAGGGTGAAGGTTCAGTGATGGCAGGAGCAGGAGAGCATGGGGGGCACACCCCAGGCTTGGTGGTGTGGAAGGACTGCGGGTGTATGCCTGGGGAAAGGAGTAGGGCCGGGGCATGTCCATGAGCCAGGTGGAGGGTCTGGGCCTGCCACCCAAACCCATGGGATGAGGTGGGGGGGCAAGAGGTAGAGTCCCTGGGGTGCTGGTTTCCCCACACAGGTGTTGGTGCAGCAGGCTCAGGGTGCCCCTGCAGTGGAGTTGCTCTTTGGTGGGGCTGGGGTGGGCGGCACTGCGTGACTCGAGGGGAGTCGGGAGGAGCCCAAGCAGCACTGCCGTCTCTCCCACCCCAGACCCAGGGGGGCTTTGACATCATCATCAATCCCTGGGAATGCAGTGAACAGGTGGGACCCCAGCATGGGGTGCTCAGAGCCCCAGGATTCCCATGGAAGGTGCGGCAATGACCCCACTGTCACCGCTGTCCTCACCATTCCTGCCATCTGCTCTGTCCCTGATGTCCCTCCCCTCTGTCCCCACAGGTGACAGTGACCATGCAGCACGAACAGGAGTTCCTACACCACTCATCCCTCACAGGTCCTCAAAGTGCCAGTGTCACATTGTGTGTCACATCCTCATCTGTGTCACATTCCCTGGTCCCCTGGGGTCCCTCAGCCATGCCCTGTGGTGCTACCCCCAGGGTGGGGACCTTCCAACGGGTAGGGACTGCCAGGGGTATGGGAACAGTCGGGGGGGGGGATATCTGGGGGGCTTGATCTGTGAAGATAAAGACACCTGGGGTGGGTTGGGGACAATTATGGGACAGGGTGGATGGGGACATACATAGGGACAAGGACCTCTGGGGTCTTGCTGGTTACCCAGAGAGGTCAGGGACTCCCAAAAGCACTCAGACAACACACAGGACTGCAGGTCAGGGATGGGTGACCTGCCCATGTTGCAGTGGCCCCATCCCCAGCTCCATAACCCTCTGCTCCCACTGCACATGTTTTCTGGGACAGGGCCAGGGTCAGGGTCAGGACTCACCATGCTTGTATCTCTGTCCTCAACAGTCAGTCCTGGGGAAGAATGAAGTTTATGCTGGCACCTATGTTTAACAGGCAGTAGTTGATGTTGTCATAAAATCATGGTGCTGAGAAGCTGGAAGACATTGGCAGTTTAAAGGATGTTCAAGTCCACTGTAGAGACCAGATTCACACTGCATTCACGCTGTAAATGCAATGTCCCAAGAGAAGAGGTCAGGAAAGAGCACTCTGGCTCTCAGACCACTTGGAGATGCTCCAGCTCACTCCTGCTGGTTCCAGAGTGGAAATCATGGACCCATGGGTCCACAGCACCATGCCTTATCCTGCTCTCACATCTTCTCTCCAGCTACTACTGTGGGCCCCCACCTCAGTGGCTTTCTGCCCACAGATTTCAAGCTGGCCTTGCATCCTCCAATGCAACGCTCACTGGGATCTGGAAAAGCCAGAATGATCCTGTCAGGGGCCCTGGGAAGGCTTGGGAGCCTGGCCCCATGTCCTTTTCCTAACAGAAGCTGCAGTAATCTTCCCACGGGATGGAGCTAGGAGATGGATGCTGGCAAGTCTGTCCTCCCTCCTGGATGTGCCCTGCAGCAGAACTACATGGAGAGGAGATGTCATCCCGTGCAGAGCCCCTGGCTTCTCAAGCACAGACAGGAGAACTTCTGTTAAATGTGGAGAGCCAGTTTTGATGACTAAGATTTTGGCTGATGCAAATTCAGAAAAAGATATGAAGTTTTCAGAGAAGTTCTGGAGGCAAGAGGTTCAAATGAAATTGGGGAAAAATAACACTGCTGCAAAGCCAACTGCATCTTACACAGGAGGAACCAGAGAAAGAACCAGAATGGTTCTGGAAACGCTGCTGCCCACAATTGTCCTAGCAGTGATGAGGTAAAGTTTCTGGAGTAAATATCCACTGTCTTCCAGAAACAGGTGTGAACCTGCCAGCCAGTCTTGGACTTACCCTCCAGCACGTGGCACCAGGCATCCAGCCCTGGGCTCTCAGTCACTTCAAATTCCAAGTTACCCTCATCCCGCAGCATCCTGATCTCCTGCAGCAGGGTAAGATGTCCCCATCCTCCTCCAGCACCTTTAGCCTCCCAGCACCCCTAGTCCCGCCTCTCCTCAGCCTGACTTCCCAGCACACTCTTCTGATGGTGTTGGGTTGGACAGTGCCAGCAATGGTGACTGCCTGCATATGGCCCAGGGACCCCTGCCCAGCACCATGCCCTCCCTTACAAGTACACCCTATGGTTCCAGGGGACCCCCCACCCATCCACCATCACCCCATTCTCACCAGGCAGTAGGTGGTCACCAGGATGTAGGGTTGTGAAGAGAGAGGCATTGCCCCTGTTCCCCTTGGGTGCCCACAGCTGAGCCTGCTGGGTGCTGAGCACTGTGGCTTGGTGGGAGAGCCAAGGTCCCAAACACCCATCCCTTACCCACAACCCTTCATGTCCCCTAATGCCCTGGTGTTTCCCAAACTCCCAAATCAGCACCAGAGGTCTCTGACCCCATAGTTGTCCCCAAACTCCTGTGGTTGTGCCCAACATTCCAAGGACCCCAACACCCCTGACATCCCTGTCCCCACAGATCAATCAATGCGTGGTCCCCATCCCCCTGAAGGTCCCCACCTGGGGGAAGCACTCCAAGGCAGGGTTGAGGGGTGTTGGAGGATGCAGCAAGGCTGTGGTGCCTAGCAGCATGGAAAAGAATGTAAATAAGAGGTGAACATCCAATCATACGTGAAGGCTAGTGGTAAATATAGATAATAGAACTAAGAATAGTGTTAGTATGTAAGATTCTAGAGACAGTGTGTGTGTGCAGCTGTGTAAAGACAATGTAATATTCTGGATGAAAAGAATAAAGCTGAATTTAGGCCATCATCATCATAAGTGCCCAGTTTTATTTACATGGCCATCCTCGGATTTAATACAACAGAGGGGTCCCCATGGGGCCAGGGAATATGACACAGATGAGGATGATGTCACTAGCACTATGAGGACCTGTGAGGGATGAGTGGTGTAGGAACTCCTGTACCTGCTGCATGGTCACTGTCACCTGTGGGGAGAGAGGAAACACAAGGGACAGAGCAGATGGCAGGAATGGTGAGGACAGCGGTGACAGTGGGGTCATTGCCGCACCTTCCATGGGAATCCTGGGGCTCTGAGCACTCCATGCTGGGGTCCCACCTGTTCACTGCATTCCCAGGGATTGATGATGATGTCAAAGCCCCCCTGGGTCTGGGGTGGGAGAGACGGCAGTGCTGCTTGGGCTCCTCCCGACTCCCCTCGAGTCACGCAGTGCCGCCCACCCCAGCCCCGCCAAAGAGCAACTCCACTGCAGGGGCACCCTGAGCCTGCTGCACCAACACCTGTGTGGGGAAACCAGCACCCCAGGGACTCTACCTCTTGCCCCCCCACCTCATCCCATGGGTTTGGGTGGCAGGCCCAGACCCTCCACTTGGCTCATGGACATGCCCTGGCCCCACTCCTTCCCCTGCCTTCATTCTAGGGGCACACCCCCAGTCCTCCCACACTACCCAGCCTGGGGGATGCCCCCCATGCTCTCCTGCTCCTGCCGCCACTGAACCTTCACCATTCCCTGCAGTACCTGGCCAGCTTTGCAGCGGCAGCTTTGCGGCAGAGGGCGGGAGGGTAGTTTTGAAATCAATCTTGCTTAGAAAATTCGAAACAACAACAGGTTAATTTTTTTTTTTTTTAATTAACTTGAGAAGAAATCCCTTTTCTTTGGGCAGCTCTCTCAGCCCAGGTGCTGGGTGTCCAGGTGCTTCATCTGGGGGGACTAGATTTGCAGCAAATGCCATTTGTGCCTGGGGTCAGTGGCTGGGGTCCGAGGCTGGGCGGTGCTCTAGTAAGGCGGTAGGGCCTGGGGCCAAGGGACAGGGGTGAGCCCCCCCAGCCCAGGGACAGCCCTGGCTGGGGGCAGATCTGCCACTCCAGGACAGGACAGGCAGCAGACCTGCCTGGCCAGAGACCCTGCGGGACAGTGTTGCCCCTGCCCTGCAGCAGACAGGCTGTTGTCCCACACTGCCTAGGGCCATCCCCACACTGCCCTCCAGCTCAAACATCCCCATCCACCAGTCCTCCCCATCTGTCCTGTGTCTGCCCCTCCTCAGCCCACCTCAGACCTCAGTTCCACCTACTCAGTCAT